CGTCACAGCCAAGGGCAGGTGCACCCCCGACGGACGCAGGAAAGGCAGGGTCAGAGACCAGAGCGGTAGCGTAGTCAAGGCGGCGGGTAGAGGCGAAGTCAGCGACAGCAGCGACAAGCGTATCAAGGCAAGAGACAGGAACAGACGGGTCTGTAACAAGAGAGGCAAGGACCCGAGGGACAAGGGGACGAGCGGCACGGAGGTAGCCAGACAGCGGGGGAGGTGCAACAACAAGAGACGAGGGAGGAGGCGAGGGGAGGAGGAGAGGACGAGACGAGTGAGAACAGAGTAAGATAGGGTGGGAGCGCGGGACAGGGGAGACGGGACGAGCACGTGAGGGATGGCGAGACCAAACGTGGGACGGAGGTGTAGGGTCAGGGGACAGCGGAGGGGACACAAGGGAGGAATGAGGAGGAAGACGGGCCGGAGTAGAGTCCGGGGGCGGGAACACAGGGCCGTAGACAGGAACGGGAGGAGGAGGTGGGGGAGACACCGGCGAGCGGTCAGGGGAGGGAAGGCCGAGCAGGCGAAGAGCGGAGACCGGCGGCGACGGCTGCGGCGGCTGGTGCGGCGTCTGGTGCGGCGGCTGGTGCTCGACCCTCGAACCGGCAGGGGCACGACGACCTCCGGGAGAACACTCAACAGCAGCACCCCCAGAACTAACACCCCCAGAGCGAGAACCCTCTCCAGCCCCAGCGGCACCCCCAGGCCCGCCGGGACAGACCACGCTAGGAGCCGCAGAACGAACACACTCTTCAGCGCCAGCACCACCAGAGGCCAAGAGTGGCAGCGGCGGCGGCGGCGGCGGCTGCGACGGCGGCGGCGGCAGCAACGACAGCGGCGGCTGCGACAGCAACGACTGCGGCGGCTGCGACAGCAGGGGCGGGGACACCATGGAAGGGGGACGCGGCAAAGGCGGGCCGGGGGGACCACCAGAGTCAGCAGACTCCTCAATAGGGACAACTGACGGGAGGGGAGTGACATGGGAGACACCAGACGGGGCAGGACGAGGCAGGAGGGGAGGAGGGGCTACCGGGGGAGAGGGGGCAAGGAATAGGGGTGGGAAAACCGGGAGACCTCGGTGAGGGAAGCGACGGAAGAAGGAGACGGACTCGTCAAAGGTGACGTCATGAGAGTGGAGGAAGCGGTGAGACTGCGGGTGGTAGAAGAGCCAGTTAGACGAGTCCAGGGGGAAACCAAGGAAGACACAGGGGACAGTGCGGGCAGTGAGCTTGTCCGTGCCAGAGGCACGAAGGTGAGCAAGGCAGCCCCAGACGTGGAACGCAGACGCGTCACCGGGGGACCCGGTCCAAAGGAGGGTCGGTGAAACCTGCGGCCGCTGGAAGCGTGGCCACAAGTTAAGCTGGTGAGCAGCGTAGCGAACAGCGAACGGCCACAGAAAATGGGGTGCACCGGCATGGATCATGGAGGTACGAGCCACCTCCATGACCAAGCCGATGCGGCGCTCAGCAACCCCATTCTGCTGTGGCGAGTCCGGCAAGGTGTACGACTGGGTGATGCCCTCCGCACGACAGAACTGTCCAAGCCGACCAGAAGCGAACTCGCCGCCACGGTCAGAGTGGAGACACAACACGGGGAGACCGCGGTGAAGACGTGCAGCCACAACCCACGGGAGAAGAACGTCAGGCACGTCGGCCTTCCGCTCCAGGGGAAACACCGTGGTGTAGCGCGTGTAGTCGTTGACGATGACAAGAAAGTAGCGCTCACCGCGCGGTCCGGGGACGGGGGCCGGGCCCCAAACGTCCAGGTGTAGGGTCTGAAGGGGAGCAGTAGCAGGGCGAAGCGAGGAGGAGTGAGGGGCACGGCGGAGCCGGCCCTCGACGCAGGGCGTGCACGGTGGAGCAGGCGAGAGGGGAAGGGCGGGGAACGACGCGGGGAGGCCTAAGACAAGACCGTGCTGGGACATGTAACGCAGACGCGGGAGTGTAGGGTGACCTAGGCGGTGGTGCCACAAAAGGGACGGGTGAGTGAGAGACCGACACGAGCACGCTGCAGCGACCTGGGAGGACGCACCAATCGGGGGGGGAAGCAATGTCAAGGGTGAACAGACCGGACACCGGGTCCCGGGGGAACGTCGCAAGGGGGGAATCTGAGACAGCCTCGGTACAGACAGCGAACCGCTCGTGCGCAGGGAACATAGTGGTGACGCCGAGGTCCTGAAGACAGCCGATACCAACCAGGTTCCTGGAGAACGAGGGAATGTGAAGGCCTGTAAGGGAGCCCAAGGGGACGGCTGGACAGGGAAGGGAAGTAGAGCTGCGAGCGACGACAGGACCCGCAGAGGGGTCAGCGAGAGCGACAACAGCAGGCGCAGCAAGCGGCGTGAGCGTGGAGCGGTCGCGGAAGAAACAGGCAGAAGCACCGGAGTCGAGAGTGAAGGACAGCGAGGCAGTAGTAGAGGCCGGGGACGATGTCGGTGCAGGAACGAGGCTAGGCACCTAGGCAGTCCTACGGCTGACGCAGCAGGGGAAGCTAAGCTACACAAGGGTGCTACACCTAAACTAGAGTACACAGGGTAATAAGATCCAGCAACACTAGAAGCGTCAGCATACAAGGCATGCAAAGCAGCACCTATCTGATCCATATCTACTGTAACTCAAAGATCGGAACGCCCTGGCGAAGCAGGCTGTACACAGAGTGCCGCGGAGAGGCCCGGTCTGAAGCTGATACTGGCAGGTCACAGCACCGGAGCTGCCGGTAGACGCCAAGCTGCGCGGGCCACCACCACGGCCACCACCTCCGGAGGTGCCCGGCCAACCAGGCGGGAGACGAGCCCACGGCTGCGGCGGCTGCTGCTGGGACGGCGGCGGCTGCTGCGGGGGCTGCTCCTGGTACGAAGGCGACTGCGACTGCTCCTGCCCATCGGTGGTAGTCCCCTTAGGGGGACTACCGTCGCCACCACCACTACCACCACCACCAGCGCTACCACCACAACCTCCCTGACGGCCACGGCCAACGCGGGGGTCGCAGCAGCTGTCTCGGTAAGAGGGGTCGCAGTGGCGACCGCAGCCAAAACGTCAGTAAATGTGCACTGGGAGGGGGCACAGCCGTGAAAGATAGAGACTGCCGGCGCACCGCTCGACTGAGCGATTGTGCGCTGGCGAGTCTCGATCTCGGTGAGGGTGTCGACAAAGGCGGTCAGGGTAAGGTCACCCGGGTGCTGGCTAAGGAAGTGGTCGCGGGCACTAGCTAGGCGGTCCGGCAGGCGCATGGCGATAAAATAGAGGGTCATGCAGAATGGGGGGGGGAGCGCAGTGAGCTGGGCAGCAGTGCTGGCAGTGCGATAGCGAGACTCTAGGGCACGCAAGTGAGTGGAAAAGTCTGCAAGAGTAGGGAAGGCAGCAAGGTCTAGGAACAGCATCGGGAAGAGCAAGCGGCTGGCAGAAGCGGATGCAGGCGTGGAATGGCGAGCAACAACAGCGTCTAAATAAGCTTTGGCCGTATCAACCGTAGCGAAACGCGAGCGCTCAGACACAGGGAGGGCATGACTGATAGCAACCTGAGCTACTTCATCGCTTGAGTTCCAGACCGCACAGGCAAGCGCAGCAGTAGAGAAAGCCTCACTCTCAACGGAGGTGGGGTCAGCAAGGAGGGGAGCAGGTGCAGGGGTGCGGGGGAGCAAGCCATCAGCATGGACAACCAGCGAGTGTCCATCATGGCGCTGACCTGTAAGCTGACGGCGGAGATCGGAGAGCCGGGCGGCGAACTCAACCGCGTGGCCCTCAGCGTCCAGGCGGAGCACGAAGTCAGCCATCGTGCAGGGTCAGCGACACAGCTCCTCAGCGACACAGCGGCACAGCTCTACAGCTTGGCAGGAGCACAGCGGCACGGGGACACGGCGGCAGCACTCTCCAGTAGGGCGGCTGCAGGGGCGCCCCAGCGCGGGCTAGCAGAGGACACAGGGGCCGAGGTGGCACGGCAGGCCGAGCAGGCACGAGGAGGGGCCAGGCGAGCAAGAGGAGGGGCCGGGCACGCGCGGGGCGGCCGGGCAGGCGCGACTAGGGGCCGGGCGGGCGCTGCTGGGGCCGGCTAGGAGCGGGCTCGACGGTCAGTGGGCCGGCCAGGAGCGGGCGCGTGGGGCCAGAGGGGGCCAGCTAAGAGCGGGCGCGACGGCCAGTGGGGCCAGCTAGGGGCGGGCGCGAACGGCCAGGGGGCCGGCTAGGAGCGGGCGCAAATGGCCAAGGGGCCAGCTAGGGGCGGACGCGACGGCCAGGGGGCCGGCTAGGGGCGGACGCGACGGCCAAGGGGCCAGCTAGGGGCGGACGCGACGGCCAGGGGGCCAACTAGGGGCGGACGCGACGGCCAGGGGGCCAGCTGAGGGCGGACGCGACGGCCAGGGGGCCAGCTAGGGGCGGACGCGACGGCCAGGGGGCCGACTAGGGGCGGACGCGACGGCCAGGGGGCCAGCTGAGGGCGGACGCGACAGCCAGGGGGCTGACTAAGGGCGGACGCGACGGCCAAGGGGCCAGCTAGGGGCGGACGCGACGGCCAGGGGGCGGGCTAGGGGCGGTCGCGACGGCCAGGGGGGCCAGCTAGGGGCGGACGCGACGGCTAGGGGGCCGACTAGGGGCGGACGCGACGGCCAGGGGGCCAGCTGAGGGCGGACGCGACGGCCAGGGGGCTAGCTAGGGGCGGACGCGACGGCCAGGGGGCCAACTAGGGGCGGACGCGACGGCCAGGGGGCTGACTAGGGGCGGACGCGACGGCCAAGGGGCCAGCTAGGGGCGGACGCGACGGCCAGGGGGCCGGTTAGGGGCGTACGCGACGGCCAGGGGGCCGACTAGGGGCGGACGCGACGGCCAAGGGGCAGACTAGGGGCGAACGCGACGGCCAGGGGGGGCCAGCTAGGGGCGGACGCGACGGCCAGGGGGCCAGCTAGGGGCGGACGCGTTGGCCAAGGGGCCGGCTAGGGGCGGGCGAGAGACTAGGGCGCGGGCGGAAGCGGGCGGGTGAACCTAACCTACTCGATACCATGTTAGAATACGTGAATAAATTACTAGAGGGGAAACAGGGAACATATAGCAGTTGGGTTGTACTCACTAAGAGCACACACCGATACTATCCTATAACTTCTACATGCATGATATGTATAAGTTGACAGGTGTCTCATACACAAACCCAGATTCAGTCAGAGTTGCAGCGCTGCAGAATCCCTGATTCCAGGGTGAAGTGTCTTCCTTCATCGTTCTGCAGTCCAACGTTTCACCCACCGTCTGCACCAATCACCCGGTATCACCTCTCCGTGCGCTCCTCTCATTGATCTCCTGAAACAGCCCCTGCATGAAATCATTAATCCGCCGGTCATAGTGCGCCCTCACCCCCTCGATTCTCGTCTCCTCCGCTGCTTCCAGAGCCCTCATCTCCCTCACACCCCGCTCCTCCTCTCTCCTCGCCTCCTGCACTGCCCTCATGGCACTCGCTGCCACCGACACCTGCTGCCGCTTCAGCTCTTTGGCGATCTCCCTCTTGGCGCGGTCGAACCCGATGCTCTGTAGAGAGTTCCGCAGAGTGTCTTGTAGGGAGGATCGCTCGCTTGCATCGTTTCCTGTTGCCCGCCCTGGTGCTTGTGGTGGTGCTGGTGCTGGTGCTGGTGTTGATGCTGCTGCTGGTGGTGGCGCTGCTGCTGCAGCTGGTGGTGCTGCTGATGCCGGTCGTGCTGGTGTTGCTGGTGTTGCTGGTGGTGCTGGTGCTGGTGCTGGTTGTGCTATTGGTGGTGGTCCTGCTGTTGCTGCTGCTTTTACTGTTGGTGGTAGCGCTGTCGCTGCTGCCCGTGCTGCTGATCTTTCTGCTGACCTTGCTGCTGCTGCAACCGTCGGTGCAGCTGTTGCTGACACGCCAACCCTGCGCCTCTTCCCCTCGCCCTGGTCAGGTGTCCCTGGGACCGCTGCTGCTCCGCCCTCCAGCCCCACTGCCCCCTGCTCGCTCTCTCCCCCCTCACGATCTCCCACTCGCCCCACTAATCCCCCTCCTTGCACACCCAGACCTCTTCCAACGCCTCCTCCTCTCTGCCTCTTTCTCCCTTCCTCCCTCCCTTCCACCGCCGTGCATGTAACGAACTTGCCCAATGTATCCCTGGCTTGATTCTTCGCCCTCTCCCCCCTGTCATCCGTCTCTCGCTCGCTCGCCCTCCTATCTCGTACCCTCTCCTTGCCTCTCACTCTCTTCTTGCTCTCCCCTTCCATTGCCCTCCCCCCAATCGCACCCCCCTCTCCCTCCCGGCGCCTTCTCTCCCCCTCCTTCACCCCTCCCGCCCCCTCAGCTCCCTCTGAACGCCCAACCCCCTTCTTACCTTCGAGTGCCTCTTCCGGCTCGTGAGTCAGATCGAAAGCAACCCTTTTCTCCCCTGCACTTCCCACAGCCTGCCTCCCCCCAACGCCGCCCATCCCCATCCCGAACCTCGTGCTTCCCTTGATCTCACCCACACGGGGTCGAAGTCGCTCCCTTCTCCTTTGAGGAGTCTCACACGCAGTTTCTCCCATCCGCTGCCTTCTAGACGCCTCGTTTGCATCTTGGGAAGAAAGGGGCATACCAGCAGCCAGTTTCTCTACGCCCGCACTGTCCACTCGCTCCCTGCGACTCCGCCTCTCTTTAATCGAACCCTTGGAAGGGTGAGTCACAGCAGCAGCTGCTCTCACACCGCTCCCTGCTTCAGCAGCAGGAGAGGGAGGGGTGGCATCACCAGGCTCAGCGTGGGGGTGTTGGACCTCCTCATCACAAGCATCGGAGTCGGAAGTGTGCGCTGCGTAGGTACGGATGAGGAGGATGCACGCCTGAGCACAGGGGCCCCACCAGAGGCAGGGGCCCCACCAGAGGCAGGGACACGAACAGTGAGTGACGGGAGGGGAGGAGGTTGAGGTGGGTTAACCAGAGGAGTAAGAGATGGGCAGCACATGGCATGGCAGGAGGAGGAAGAACCACTTCCCTCCAACCAGTTGGGTACTGCACGCCCGGCGCGAAATTGTGCATGCCACGCCAGCAACTAGGCATGCGTCCTAAGCATCCGGACAAGGACGGCAAAGGCTTGAGACGGATACCTATTTGGTGCACGCCGCGCCTGCACTTGAGAGCCCTACAATACTGCGCCACTTCACCTCCTCACAGGATCCGCTTCCCTTCCTTGCCCCTCTCCAACCTCACAAACCAGTCTCCACAGCCCCACCACCTTCCCCTCACTCCGCCTCCACCCCAGCTCGTTCCTGCACCACGTGCTCGTTCCTGCACCACGTGCTCGTTCCTGCACCACGAGCGCGTTCCTGCACCACTTGCTCACACACACTCACACTGGAAACACGCGTGTTACTTACTCACCCCTTCTCCCACACGGTCTGTCTCTCAACCTCAGCTGGCCTAGTAGGCGCTTACAGAAATAATAATAATCTCTTTCTTTACCGAATCCGTGGCCCACTCGGGTCGTTCTTCCACTGGAGTCCGCCGAAGCAGGGCGATCGCCCACCTCTCACTGCCCCCACGTCGCTCGCTTCTCCATCAGGTCGTCTCAGCAGTGCCACCACCCGCCTCCCACTCCTCGCCCTTCCACCACCACTTGCTGACTCACACGCCTTGCTATGTACCGAGTCGAGTCTCTCTCCCACTCGGGTCGTTCCTCCACTGGAGTCACCCGAAGCAGAGCGATGGCCCTCCCCTCCCCTCTCCGCCCTCCTCTCACAGCCCCCAGCTCGCTCACCCACAGCCATTTGCTGCCACTCACACAAGAAACACACCTCACTGCTTACCGAATTCGCTTCCACATCAGCCAACCTACACCGTGCCACAGCCCTGCTCTCCCCGCCCCCACCTGGTTCCTCCACCACCACTTGCTCGTACCGGACAAACCCTCCACAGGAAAGTACAACCCAATCTCACATTCTCATGAACACGAAACAAGAAAGCCCTTACCGAGTCCTTGCTCCATCCCGGTTGTTCTTCCACCTCAGCCAGTCTTGGCAGCGCCACCGCCCTGCACTCCCCGCCCCCGGCTCGCTCCTCCAGCACCACTTGCTCGCAGCGGTCGAAGCCCTCCACGTGAAACAGGTCCCCCAAGTCATCCTCCCACACATCCCCGCTCTTCCCGTCCTCGTTATGAATGGCCTCACGCCCTTCCAACCCCTCCTCCTCCCCGCCATCAACCACTCCCTTACCCCCTTCTCCCCTCCCCTGCCCTTCCGCCCTCGCTCTTCTCGCTTCCCCTCCCCCATCCGCTCTCACGTCTCTCCCACCCCTCCCGCCCTTCCTTCTCCCCCCCACGTGCCAGCTCAAGACTCCCCCACTTCTCCTCCCCTTCCTCCTCTGCTCTTTCGCCCTCCGTTTTTCCTGCCTCGTTCTCACTCCCTCGTCTCCACCCGCCCACTTCACCTTCCTAACAGTCGCCCGCGCCTCTCTTGCGCGCAGAAACGATGCTACCATCCCTCGCCACTGCCCGCCCCCAATCTCGCCACTGCCTGTGTCAGACCGCTGGCCCGCCTGCTTCAGACGCACCGCAGCGCCGGCAGCACCAGCGCCGGCAGCACCAGCGCCGGCAGCACTAGCGCCGGCAGCCCGGGCGCGGAGGAATGCCAGCAGGTGGCGCGGCGTGAACTCGCCCTTGCTGCTTCCTGTCAGCTCCTCGCCACGCCCGCCCTTAGCGCCGCCCACTTTCTCCCCATCCCCTTTCTCCCCATCCCCTTTCTCCCCATCCCCTTTCTCCCCATCCACTTTCTCCCCATCCCCTTTCTCCCCATCCCCTTGCTCCCCGCTCCCTCCTGTCCCTTCCGTCACCCCCTCGCCTGCCACCCCTCCTCGCGCCCCTTGAGCAGGCGGCTCCACGAGCCTCGCCCCTCCCACACCCTCGCTGCTTCCCGTGAGCTTCTCGACATGCGTGCCCTTGGAACCGTCCGCTTTCTCCAAAGCCTCATCCTCCCCACCCCCCTCCCCGTCATGCCCTCCCGCCTTTTCCGTCCGCCCCTGCCCTGCCACCACTCCCCGCGCCCCTTCTCCAGCCGCCCCCGTGGGCCTCGCACCTCCCACCGCCCCTCCCGCCCTGCCCTCGGCGCGCCTGCCTGTGTCATCCACTCCCCCCTGCCCGGCACCCACCTCGCCCGCTCCCTCTCTGCTGGACGCCTCGGGCGCCCATACTCCGCCTGCCCGTCCTGCCCTGCACTCTCCATCCCCCCCCCCCGCTCGCCCCTGCCCTGCCCCCATCTCGCCCCATCCTTCTCTGCTCGACCCCAAGGGCGCAGACGCCGTGAGCGCCCCTTCTGCACCAGCACCCCCATTCGACGCGGCCCCACGCGCAGCACCAGCACCAGCACCAGCACCAGCATCATAAACACCAAGTTTTTTCGAGGACTCTAAAGTTGCAAAATCTATGTGAGCAGCTGCAGCACCTACGCCATAAACACCTCGGTTTTGAGACGACACCAAAGGCGCGGCATCCACGTCAGCAGCAGCAGCAGCAGCGGCGGCGGCGGCGGCGGCAGCAGCAGCAGCAGCAGCGGCGGCGGCAGCGCCGTCTGCTCGTGGCGGCTCCTCCCCCCTTGTCTCCCCGACATCCGCGCGCATCCTCTCCGCCTGCCACCCCGCCCCCTCGACGGGAAACAGCTCGCCCAGAACACCGCCGCCCTCCTCCGCATCGTCATCCGCATCCTCGTCCTCATCCCCCTCGCCCTCATCCCCCTCGTCCTCATACTCACTGCTCCCGTCGCTGCCACTCGCGTCGCCATCATCCGTGCCGCGATCCCCTCTCACATGCCCTTCAACTGTTTCGCCCCTGTCACCCCTTCCCCTGTCATCGCTTCGCCCTCCCCCTTCCCTTCTCCCCTCCCTTTGCTCTCCCCTTCCGCTCTGCCTTCGGCCTCTCCTCCCTCTCCGCCTCACCTTCCCCTCCCCCTTCCCCTCCCGCGTGCTCTGTCGAACGATCGCCCGCGCCTCGCGAGCGTCAAGAAACGCTTCCACCAGCTTTCGCCCCGCCTTTCCCGCGTTTTCGCCACCGATTTCGCCTGCAGCTTCGCCACCGTTTTCGCCAGCGCGTTCACCTGCGTTTTCGCCTGTGGGATTCAGAGGCGTGGAGCGGGCGCGAAGTATTGCAAGCAGCCGGCGCGGCGAAATCTCATCCCCGCCGCTTCCAGGCGCGACCTCCGCGCCACCACCGCGGCCGTTCTCCCAGCGCCCATCCGAAACACCCCAGTCCGTGGCTTTAAGCATATCCTCGCAGCTCTCAGTGGCTTCGTTGCTCTGCGATTTCCCACGGCCCCCCTCCTTCCCGTCTTGTCCTCTCGCTTCCATTCGATTCGCGCACCGCCCTCGAGGACTGTAAATGGATTTGGGGTACGCACTTTCCCGCACTTGTCTCGAGTTGTAACAAGGGAGGCGAGGGCTGACGTGCCGGAGGTGAAGGGGCGACAGACGAAAGGGAAATGGGAGTGCGTGGGTGGAGGTGGGAAATGGCTGGTTCCCTAAGTGGGGTGAATACATGGAGGCTAGCAGGAAGCAGGGAGAGCAGGCGAGGACTGAGTTGCGGGGTGAGGGGGAGCCGGTGGGTGCATATGCAGGCTGAGTGCTGGCGGTCTAGTAAGTAACACGTAAGGTGATATTGAAATCCATAAAATTATGAACCTACAATTTTGAATGTGTGAAAGATTTCGTAATTACACAATTTTAAGATTTTAAGGCTTTATTATCTTAATAACTTATTTTATCATAAATATAATTATTCGTCATATTTTTTCATTACCAAGGACAAATGTTTTGTAAGATGTTTAAAAAGAAAATGTATTTATAAAGCGAGTGGTCAAAATAGTGAAGGTGGGTCCAACTTGAAAGGGCCCAGACGTCCGTTTTTGCGACGAAGGGATAAAACTGTGACGGGGCAGAGGGTACACTGTCAAGAAATGCGAGCACAGGAAACTGGGCGAGAATACGCAGTTACCTGATTGGTTGGCGGGGAAAACAGGACATACGGTGGGAAAAAGGCTCAGGAAAAATCGCAAGCAGTGCGCCACCTGTCGCCCAGCCCGAACTGCCTGTAAGCTGCACCAAGTGGGCCCAACTTGAATTTCAAAGTTGGAACCAGGTTCACTACTTCGGGAAAACCGAGGATGGGCCCCGATGTCAAACATGTGTATTTGTCATGTTTGTATAGACTGTATAGGGTCACCTCTTAGAGGGTACAACACTTAGGTATATCTGTGTGTACTCTCACTCTACTATCATTCACTTCTCTAATTCTGATATGGTATCACGCGTAGGTTAGGATCCCCCCCCACCTACCGCTTCCGCTCGCCCCCCTAGCTCGGCCCCGCCGTGCCTCCCTCCTAGCCCCGTCGTGCCCCTAGCTCCGTCGCGGCCCCCCTAGCCCCGCCGCGCCCCTACCTGGACCCCGTAGCGCCCCTCCTGGGCCCCGTCGCGCCCTTTTTGGGCCCTGTAGCGCCCCTCCTGGGCCCCGTCGCGCCCCTCCCAGGCCCCGTTGCGCCCCTCCTGGGCCCCGTAGCGCCCCTCCTGGGCCCCGTCCCGCCCCTCCTAGGCCCCGTAGCGCCCCTCCTGGGCCTCGTCGCGCCCCTCCTGGGCTCCGTAGCGCCCCTCCTGGGCCCCGTCGCGCCCCTCCTGGGCCCCGTAGCGCCCCTCCTGGGCCCCGTCGCGCCCTTCCTGGGCCCTGTAGCGCCCCTCGTGGGCCCCGTCGCGCCCCTCCCAGGCCCCGTCGCGCCCCTCCCAGGCCCCGTCGCGCCCCTCCTGGGCCCCGTAGCGCCCCTCCTGGGCCCCGTCGCGCCCCTCCTAGGCCCCGTAGCGCCCCTCCTGGGCCTCGTCGCGCCCCTCCTGGGCTCCGTAGCGCACCTCCTGGGCCCCGTCGCGCCCCTCCTGGGCCCCTGTAGCGCCCCTCCTGGGCCCCCGTCGTGCCCCTCCTGGGCCCCGTAGCGCCCCTCCTGGGCCGCGTCGAGCCCCCCCTCCTGGGCCCCGTCACGCCTTCAGGCCCCGTCGCACCCGCCCGGCCCCGACGCACCAGCCCGGGCCCGTCACGCCCGCCCGGCCCCGTCGCACCCGCCCGGCCCCGTCGCCCCCTGCCCGGCCCCGTCGCAGCCGCCCGGCCCCGTCGCACCCGTCCGGCCCCGTCGCGCCCGCCCAGCCCCGGTGCGCCCCTCCTGGGCCACCGTCCTGCTCGCCCGGCCCCGTCGCACTGGCCCGGCCCCTTTGCACCGCCCGGCCCCGTCGCACCAGCCCGGCCCCGACGCACCCGCCCGGCCCCGTCGCACCAGCCCGGCCCCGTCGCACCCGCCCGGCCCCGTCGCACCCGCCCGGCCCCGTCGCGCCCGCCCGGTCCCGTTGCACCGGCCCGGCCCCTGCGCTCGTCCCTGCCCCGGCCCCGGTCCTCCTTACTGGTACGGTTCTCCCCCCCCCCCCCCCCCCCCCCCCCCCCCCCCGCCCTGCGCTGCCGTGCACCGTACTGCCCCGCACTGCACCGCCCCGCACCACCCTGTACTGCCTGGCACCGCACTGCACCGCCCTACACCGCACTGCACCGCACTGTACCGCACAGCACCGCACTCCACCTTGCTGCACTGCCCTGCACCGCACTAAACTGTTCCTGATGGCGGCGGAGCTTCGCTTCGACGCTGAAGGCCAGCCTCTGGAGTTCGAGGCGTGGCTTGCCAACCTCCGTCGCCAACTCACTGGCCAGCGGCAGGATGGTGAACCGCTTTCCGCACACCTTGACGGTACGCTCCCCTGCCCAGACCCCCCTGCTATTCTGCCCGCTGACTCCACACCCACTGAGCGCGAGTCCACTGCTGCCACTGCCCGTGCGCGCTCTGTCTGGCTTTCTCGCGATGCTGTCGCCCAGCTTGCCATTAGCAACGCCCTTCCCCCATCCGAGCGCCCTCGCTTTAGGTCTCTCACTACTACTCAGGCATACTTAGATGCTGTCATCCAGCGCTATTCCACCCCTCCGGCTGCCTCGGTGGGTCGCCTGATCCTCCCGATGCTCTTTCCTGACCTTGCATCTTTCCCCACTGTCTCTGACCTCGCTGCCCACCTGCGCTCGATAGATGAGACCTGGCGCGCAGCCTGCACTGATGCACAGCTTAGAGCCCACCAGCCGCCCATTACCTCTACCCTCTACCTGCTTGCCACCCGCCTCCCTGACCGCCTTGCTGTCGCCCGCGACCGCTTCCTTAGCATTCACCCCGCAGACCTCACCCTCACTGACTTTGTAGACACCCTGACTGTGATAGAGACCCGTCACCGCTCCATCGCCCAGGCGAGCGGTGTCGTGCCGGTCCCTATCTTTCAGGGTTGTGCCCCCGCCCCGTGTACCTTCTCCGACGGCTCTGCCGCAGTGGCTTAGACTGTTGCTGCAGCGCAGTTTCATTCGGGGAAGGGCCGCCGCCCAAGGTTGGGCGCGGCGGAGGCGGCGGCGGGGTGCGGGAGGGGGTAGTGGTGGGTCGGGTCGTCTGGTGCTGGAGCGGACGAGGGGACCCTGCCCAGTCCAGCTGAGCCGCCGCCCCTGCAGTTGCAGCAGCCGCCGCAGTCGCAGCCTTCGTAGCAGCCGCAGCAGCCGTCGCAGACGCGGCAGACGAGTGTCCTCCCGCCCGGGTGGCCCGGCGCTGGCGGTGGCCGGGCGCGTGGTGGTGTGCCGAGTGGTGGCTCTGGCGGCGGGCGTTGTTGATGGAAAACGTGCAAATCTGAAGAGAATAAATTAGAGATTAAGTCTGACGACCTCAACGGACCATTGCGTGCAGCTCAGGTAACTTTTAGAAATGAGCTTATACGCGTTGGAAAGGTCTTAATCTCTAATTTCTAGAATGGTAAAGCACATTCATAACCAAGATTTGAGCCGCCGATTATGACGAAATCAGTGTGAGGGATATTCTGGTAATTTGGCTAGGCAGCCATGAATGACTTAGTCAAAACGACAGGGGAAGCAGTTAGATCTGGAAAAGTTCGAGTATGTGATTGTCAAACACACCAACCCTCGCCCTGAACCAAACCCTAACACTCCCAAGTGCCAGAGCTGCAACATCAAAGATGTTGTAGTGGGTATGAGGTAGTATGGGTGGAAAGGTAACGAGATCAAACCTAGCCAACCAACCCAATTCTTTTGCCCAAATCCCAATAGCCCACAGCCAGCTAGAGCAAATCATACCACAGAACACTTACACATTTATCACTCCCCCTTGCTCGTGCTGGGTGTGGCTCAACACCATAGGGCAAATGCCTTCACACCACTCCCCTTGCCCATGGGTTGGGCCACCCAGAGCATGGAGTCCGCCAAGGAGAGGAGCACCAAGACGCCGGCATCTGCTTCGGTAACTCTGTTATCATGGGGCTGCATCCCGAGCAAGGTCATGCACACACCATGACGCTCAAATGGAAGAGACTTGGTAAGAATATCAGCAGCCTGACGGTTGGTGGGGCACCACTGCAAAATCACCTCACCCGCAGCTACCATCTCCCGAATGAAATGCCACCGGACCTGCATGTGTTTGGTGCGGCCATGCAAGCATGCATTCTGTGCAAGGGCAATGGCAGACTGATTATCCACAAACACAGGCACACCACCAGCATGATCATGGCCAAACCCCTCAAACAAATGCCTCAGCCACACACCCTCCTGAATGCACTGACACAGGCTTATATACTCACTCTCAGTGGTAGAGAGTGCTACCACGGGCTGCCTCTTGCTCTGCCAAGAGATAGCTGCCCCATTCAGACAGAACACATATCCACTGTGGCTCCTGCGACTTGCGGAATCTCCTGCATAGTCAGCATCACTAAAGCCAACTAGCTGGACCTGAGACTGGGGCTGTGGTTGGAAGAGGATACCTGACTTGACACCACCTTTCAGGTACCTCAGCACTCTTTTAGCGGCCTGCAAGTGGAACATTTAGGACAAGAGGCGACCTTAGATAGCTGTGAGACTGCAAAGGCAATCTGTGGCTGTGTGGTAGTACAAGCATACATGAGGGATCCCACAATGCTTTGGTAGAGCTTGATCAGCTCATCTCGCAGCAAGGGTTCATTTTCATAGGCATGCACATCAAAAGCCTGTTGGGAGGGGAGTACGCACGGGGTTGGCCTCTGAGAGACCAAAGGACTGAAGCATGTTAAGAATGTACCTCTCTTGATGAATCAAGATACCACTCTCATCACGCTCAATTTGCATTCCCAAGTAGTAATTCACCTCCCCCAAGTCCTTCATGCGAAAACGCGAGGACAAGAAGTCTTTCACTCGATCTAGCAAAGCCTTGCTAGAGCATAGGAGCAAAAGGTCATCCACATAGAGGAATAAGGAGATCCGCTCCTCATCTCTCACAAAGTGGTACAAGGCAGGGTCACACTCAGATCTCTCAAAGCCAAAATCCATGAGAGCCTCATCAAATTTTAGGTACCAGTGTCGTGGGGCTTGCTTTAGCCCATAAATGGACTTTTTGAGGCGACACACTCGGTTAGAACCATCATCAAAACCAGGGGGGCTGCCGCATGTAAAAGCTCGTCCTCCAAATCCCCATAGAGGAAGGCTGTCTTGACGTCCATATGATGGATATCAAGCCCCAAAGCAGCTGAAATTCCAAGCATACCTCTGAAGGTCGCATGCTTCCCAACTGGAGAGTACACTTCTTCATAGTGTACTCCCAATTTCTGTGTGTTTCCCATCACCACCAATCTGGACTTAGGCCTCTCAATGGTACCATCAGGGTTATGCTTATATTTCCAAACCCATTGACACCTGAGGACCTCCAAACCAGGTGGTACCACGGCTGGATCAACCAGCTCAAATGATCCATTTACCTTGTGAGACTCAAGCTCCTCGTGCATGGACTCAACCCATTCGGGACGGTTCAGCGCCTCGTGGATTGACCTAGGCTCATGCACCTGACCCATTAGACACACATCAAGAGCATACTCATGCCCATGCATGTCCACAAGCATGCAATCATCCAAATCAGACACAAGATGATCATGCATGCGTGCAATGTGCCCCGGTGAAAACCTTTCAGGTGGCTGGGAAATTCGAGCACTGCGTCGCAGAGGTGTTGCCTCTCCTTCTTCCAGCCTCCGCAGCTTCTCCTCCCAAGTCACCCTCTTTATTGGAGTCCTTGGAGTCTTGGACAGCTGCTGGTTCAACAACTGCTGCCAACTGCTTCCGATGGAGTTGAAGGCACATGCTGCTCCGGCTGATCATCACGCGCATCGGCCTGCGTGGCTGGCTGAGGGTAGAATCTGTCTCTCGGGACTCCTCATGGTTAGGATCAGCTGGTTCTGGCTCCTCCTGCTGCTCCTCCCCTTCATCTCCAGGGTCCTCCCATGCCTCCTCAAAGATAGAAGCCGTATGAGGGTCTTGAATGGAAGTCCCACTTTGGCTTGTACCATGCTCCTTCCACCCCTTAAAATGCAGCCCCTCATGGAAAAACCACATCACGGCTCTCCATCACACGCTGGTCAGCTACACTCCACAGCACCCAAGCCTTGCTCCTCTCAGAAAACCCAAGGAAGATCCCCCACTGTGCCTTAGGATCTAGCTTCCTTCTTTGCTGGTCAGGTACCTTATACTGTGCCATGCACCCCCACACTCGTGCCATGGAAACATTCGGCACCTTCCCTGTCCATAAGGAGTATGGGCTCTTGCCTCCAAGCCCCTTGCTGCCCATCCTGTTCTTCACCCAGTTGGCATACTGCACTGCTGCCCCCCACCAAGTGTTATCAAGCTCGGCATGGGCAAGGATGGCCCGAGCCAAATCGGTCAAGGTCCTGTTAAGCCGCTCCGCTGCCCCATTTTGCTGCGGCGTGTAAGGTACAGAGAGCTGGTGGGTAATACCCTTTTCTTCCAAGAAGGTTTGAAGTTCTTTCCCAAGGTACTCTCCACCCCGATCTGACCTTAACACCTTTACCTTGGCCCCTGATTCCCTCTCCACATAGCGTATCCACCGCTTAAACACCTTTGCCACCTCATCCTTGGTCTTCACCAAGATGACCCAGCTAAGTCGACTGAAGTCATCAAGAAAGGTGACAAAGTATGCTGCCCTTTCCCGGTCAGGAGTTTGCATCGGTCCACACACATCCGTGTGCACCAGCTCAAGGGGAGTCGAGGCATGATCAGAGGAGATAGGGAATGAGGTTCTAGGCAGCTTTCCAGATGCAGTCGGGACATTTGCTCTGCTGCCCAGCTCCTTCCTTGACCTCCACCCCCTTCAGCTCCCCCTTCTTCACACACTCCAGCAGTTGCTGCTTCCCCGCGTGCCCCATGCGAAGGTGTAGCAACTCAGGTGACACCGTTTCCACCTGCCTCCAGCGAGTGCTACAAGCGGCTTCCTCAGAAAAAACCATATGTGCCTTGTAACAATTAGGCACACAAGCTGGAACAAGGTATAAACCCTTGTCCAGCTTTGCCTCCATCACCACAGCTTCACCCTTTCTAACAGTACACCCTCCCTCAGTGAAAGTGCAGATGTATCCCTGTTTAGCCAGCTGCGAGCATGAAAGGAGGTTTGCAGCCAAACCAGGGACGTGAAGGACCCCCTTCACACCCACTAGCTCCCCCTCCTTCCCCTTAATGGTGATCGTGCCGATGCCAATTGCTTGCAGCAAATCTCCGCTCCCAACAATCACGTTCCTCGAATTTGGTGGGAGAGGATGGTAGGAGGTGAAGAGATCACGGCGAGGAAGCATCCCAGATGTTGCTCCAGAGTCTAGAACCAGGAAGTTGGGATCAGCCAATGCACGACCAGCGAGAGCTGCATCCTGCCCTAGCATGAGAAACGAGAAACCATCATCGGAGGAGTCGTCTTGGCCCTTCCCCTTCTCATCCTTAGCAGCTGCGGCCGTTGCTCCCTTGCTGCCCTTCTTATTCCAGAGCCCCTTCTTCATCCTTTTCTCCACCCAATCAGGTTTGGTCACTGGTGGGGCCTCTCCAGAGTAGCCGTGAGGCTTCCATCCCTCAGGCCTACTCCAGCAACTCTTCCAAGAGTGTTTTTTGTTGCATCCGGGCACAAGGCATTTGTCCAACTCTTTCTTCTTCCCCCCACCTCCTTGCTGTTGATAGCCTTTCCTGAAGGAAGCTTTATCTGCTGCACCCATGCCTCCTTCTAGGCCTCTTCCAGCATCAACCTTGCGAGCCTCATCAGAAATTAGAACCTCCCAAATCCACACCTTGGTCCATTTCTGTTGCTCGAGGTGAAGGTACTGTAGTAATGCCTCATTAGCCGCTTGATCCAACCCTTGGAGTGCAGTATAGATGATCTCCTTCTCATCTACCGTGTAATCCAGCTCCTCCAAAGCCCTCACATTCTCATCCACCCTCTGGAGATACTGAACCATGGTCTCCCCCTCCCCATAGTTCCGCTCCATGGTGTAAAACCGCTTCCGCCAAGTAAGCACGCTTAGAAGCCCTTTCTGCAAGTGCCTATCTTGCACTCTTTTCCAAGCTGCAGCTGCTGCACCTTCCTTCCCCTTCAGGTCAATCAGCATCTTAAGAAGCTCAAGTTGCCCCTCCAAAGCCCAACACAGGTACTGAAATGCCTGGCGATCCTTCCGATCCCATGCTTCTTGAGCTTTGAGCAACTCCTCGCTACTTGGTTGCGACCTTCCGGTTCGAGTTGCAGTTCCTCCTTCCTTCCCCCACTCAACGACGCTCCCCCAGCCCCGGATCCCACTTGGCTGGTTGCTCCAGTAGACGCCTCCCCAGAGTCAGCTCGTGGTCGCTTCTCCGATCCATCCAACACACTTTCTAGGTCCTTAATACCTAGCCATAGTGTGAACTGGAACCTCCATAGCGAAAAGTCCGAGCCGGTAAACCTAGGAGGGCCATCCAACTTTTGGGCCATGTCAAACCCTAGATCTGGAGCACTTCAAGCCTCTCTAGATCTCTTCCAATGGAGGAAAGAACGTCCTCTAACCGTGGCTCTGATACCACTGATGGAAATCGTGCAAATCTGGAGAGAACTAATTAGAGATTAAGTCTGACGACCTCAACGACATTGCGTGCAGCTCAGGTAACTTCTAGAAATGAGCTTATACGCGTTGGAAAGGTCTTAATCTCTACTTTCCAGAATGGTAAAGCACGTTCATAACCAAGATCTGAGCCGCCGATTATGACGAAATCAGTGTGAGGGGATATTCTGGTAATTTGGCTAGGCAGCCATGAATGACCTAGTAAAACGAAGGGAAGCAGTTAGATCTGGAAAAGTTCAGTATGTGATTGTCAAACACACCAACCCTCGCCCTGAAACAAACCCTAACACTCCCAAGTGCCACAGCTGCAACATCAAAGATGTTGTAGTGGGTATGAGGTAGTATGGGTGGAAAGGTAACGAGATCAAACCTAGCCAACCAACCCAATTCTTTTGCCCAAATCCCAATAGCCCATAGCCAGCTAGAGCAAATCACACCACAGAACACTACACATTTATCAGTTGTCAGTACCAGATCCAGACCGGTCCTCGCCGCGGCTTCGTTTGCGGTAAGATCGGTCACTCCACTCCCCGCTGTTTTCGTCGCCTGGACGACCTCCCGGACTGGCACAGCTTGCTTAGTCGTAAGATTCAGATTTTTGATATGGACATGGATGCCATTGTTTCTGCTCTGCATGTGATGTATGCTGATGACTCTAGTGTGCTTCCCACTTATTACTCACTGTTGCCTAGTGTAGGTGTGCCTAGCTTAGCCTCCCCTGCTGCGTCAGGCGTAGGATCCCCTGCTTTGTGTAGTCTTGGTGCTTCCGCCGTCGTTCCGTCGCCAGACGCCTCTGCTTCACTTTCCTTCACCTTGGACTCTGGCGCTTCTCGGTGTTTCTTCCGCGACTCCACCACCCTGACGCCGCTTCCTGTTCCAGATACCGTTTCTCTTGCTGACCCCTCCGGCGGTCCGGTAGTCGCCCGCAGTTCCACCACCCTTCCCTGTCCGGCGGTTCCTTCCGGCACTCTCACAGGTCTGCATATCCCCTCGTTCTCCAGGAACCTAGTTGGTGTCGGCTGCCTCCAGGACCTTGGCGTCACCACTACGTTCCCTGGTCACGAGCGGTATGCTGTCTGTACCGAGGCCGCCACTGGTGCCCCCCTGTCCACGTTCCCCGGGACCCGGTGTCCGGCCTGTTCACTCGGGACACCGTGACCCCCCCGGCTGGAGCGCTCACCCAGGTTGCTGCTGCCTGCTCCTGTCGGTCCTCACTCACCCGACCCTCCTTTGGCACCACCGCCTAGGTCACCCTGCACTCCCGCGTGTGCGTCACATGTCCCAGCACGGTCTTGTCCTTGGTCTCCCAGGTTCCCTCCCCGCGTTTCCCTCCTCCCCAGCCCCACCTTGCACGCCTTGTATCGAGGGTCGGCTTCGCCGTGCCCCTCACTCCTCCTCGTTTCCCCCTACCGCCGCGCCGCTGCAGACCCTGCACCTGGACGTCTGGGGCCCCGCCCCGTCCCTGGGCCGCGTCGAGAGCGCTACTTCCTTGTGCTTGTCGACGACTTCACTCGTTACACCACAGTCTTTCCCTTGGAGCGCAAGGCCGACGTGCCTGGCGCTCTCATCCCCTAGCTTGTCTCTGCGCGTGTCCACCGCGGTCTCCCTGTCTTGCGTCTTCACTCAGACCGTGATGGCGAGTTTGCCTCAGGTGTCCTTGGTCGCTTTTGTCGTGCAGAGGGCATCACCCAGACGTTCACCCTACCAGACTCCCCACAGAAGAATGGGGTCGCTGAGCGACGCATCGGTTTGGTCATGGAGGTGGCTCGCACCTCCATGATCCATGCCGGTGCACCCCATTTTCTGTGGCCGTTCGCTGTGCGCTACGCTTCTCACCAGCTTAACTTGTGGCCGCACCCTCAGCAGCCGCAGGTTTCGCCGACCCGTCTTTGGACTGGGTCTCCTGGTGACGCGTCTGCGTTCCACGTCTGGGGCTGCCTTGCTCACGTCCGTGCCTCCGGCACGGACAAGCTCACTGCCCGCACCCTTCCCTGCGTCTTCCTCGGTTTTCCCCTTGACGCGTCCGACTGGCACTTTTACCACCCGCCGTCTCACCGCTTCTTTCACTCTCGTGACGTCACCTTTGACGAGTCCGTCTCCTACTACCGTCGCTTCCCCCACCGTGCTCCCCGGTTACCCCCCCCTGTTCCTGGTCACTCCTTCCCCGGTAGTCCCTGCCTCCTCCTCCTCCTCCCCGTCCCGCCCCCTCTGGTGTGTCCCACGTCACCCCCCTTCTGTCGGTGGACCCGGTTGAGGAGTCTTCTGACTCTGGTGGCCCTCCTGTTCAGTCCTCGCTGGCCGCCCCTCCCCTGGCGTCCCCTCCCAGTCCCCCCTCCACCGCCTCTGCCGCCGCTGCAGCCGTCGTTGTCGCTGCCGTCGCCGCCGTCGCAGCACCCGTTCGCTGACTCTGGGGGTGCTCGTCCCGGTAGCCCTGGGGGTGGTCCCTCTAGGGGTGCTGGTGTGGAGAGTGCCGGTGGTAGCCGAGGAGCAGCTTGCGGTCCAGGTGTCGCCGTTGTGCCGCCGCAGCAGCAGTCCCCGCCGGTGTCAGCCCTTCGCCTGCTCGGCCTTCCGTCCCCCGACCCTGCGTCAGTTCCTCCTTGACCGTCTCCTCCTCTTCCTGTCTACGGCCCTGTCTTCCCTCCGCCGGACTCGTCCCCGGCCCGTCTCCCCCTCTCGTTCCCTCTTGTGTCCCCTCCTCCGTCTCCTGACCCGACTCCTCCGTCGCACGTCTGGTCTCACTGTCCCTCCGTGCTCGTCCTGCCTCGCCTGTCTTGCGCTCCCACCCTATGTTGCTTCGTTCCCACGCGTCTCGTCCTCCCCTTCTGCCGTCGCCTCCTCCGTCCTCCCTTGTTGTTGCACCCCCCCCCGCTGTCTGACTACCTTCGTGCCGCTCGTCCCCTTGTTTCTCGGTCCTTGCCTCTCTCGTTACCGACCCGTCTGTTCCGGCCTCGTGCCTTGACGCTCTTGTCGCTGCTGTCGCTGACTTCGCCTCTACCCGCCGCCTTGACTACGCCTCCGCTCTGGTCTCTGACCCTGCCTGTCCTCCGTCTGTCGGGGGTGCTCCTGCCCTTGGCAGTGACGTCCTGGAGGACCGCCAGTTCGAGCTTGCTTTCCTGTCCGAGGCTGCTCCTCATCTCTGTTCCATGCTGCTAGTCCATGAGGGTGACCCCGACGCTTTCGACATCCCGACCCCTCGCACTTACGCTGAGGCGACCTCGGGACCTTGGGCCTCTCAGTGGATAGCTGCCATGGAGCAGGAGATGGCATCTTGGAGATCCA